CAGCAGCAGAATCACAGTACCCAAGAATGGACTAACAGTTACCAAAGGGAAAGGGACTGGGGAGAATGGGTGGGAAGGGAGGGATAAGGGTGGGGAAGAAGAAAGGGGGTATTACAATTAGCATGTGTAATGTCGGGGGTGGGGGCATGGGGAGGGCTGTGCAACACAGAGAAGACAAGTAGTGATTCTACAGCATCTTACTACGCTGATGGACAGTGACTGTAATGGGGTTTGTGGGGTCGACTTGGTGAAGGGGGGACGTTAGTAAACATAATGTTCTTCATGTAATTGTAGATTAATGATAACAACAACAACAAAAAGAATGTACGTCCATAAAGAAGCAAGTTTTGGAGTGTCAAGAAATAAATTACTAAATAAAGTACAAAAAAAAAAAGTTAATCCTTTTTCCCTTACATCAGGTACCTAGACCAGTCAAGATCACAGAGACACCCAACAGAATGGCGGTTGCCAGGGGGAGTCAGTGATATGTTCAGGGTTTCCGTTTTGTAAGATGTAAAGAGCCCTGGAAATGGATGACGGTGAAGCTGCATTACGTTATTTTAATCCCACTGAATTGTACGCTTAGAAGCAGTTAAGGTGGTAAATTTTATAATGTGTATTTTATCACAATAATAAAAGAACAAAAAGGTTAATCTTTACTAATGATATTAATGGGCTCTTAAAAAGTAAAAACTTGCTTTAAAATGGGAGCCTTAATTTTTCACCAGAACCGGCCCCTTCATTACCCCTACAATACCAAATGTAGCAGAGAGAGAGAGGGAGGGCAGGAGGGAGGCAGGCTCCCGGGGCACTCACGGCGGGCTCCTCGTTCAGGGTCTGCAGCATCCAGGTCTCCAGTGTCTGGAAGTCCCGAGGACCCTGGTACTTCACAGCTTCTTGGCCAGGCTTGAAAAACTTCAAGCTGAAAGGGTAACCAAGGCTTAGACAGTGGGTTTTGAAAGCACGTTAAACTGCTCAAGTGGAGAGCGCCAGCTTATCAGGGGGCAAACTCACTCAGCAAAACAACTACAAATGGAGTTGGTAAAGGGCTGCAGCCAGGCACGTCAGGGCCCTCTCCAATAAAACCTGAAGATAAAGGAAAAATAGTGGTCTAGGAGGTAATACATTCACCTAAACCTAAACTTTTTAAAAGTTTCCTATTTTATTCAAGAAAAAAAAAACTGAGGTGAACACACTGACCCTAATGCTGTGGATTAAGCCCCAAGCTACAAGGGTTCAGTTGTGCCAAACCCCCAAGCTTCTCCATGCTAGGTATTTGTTAATTTCCTAGGCTTCAGTAGTTTTTATGTTCTGCATTTGCCTTAAAAAACATTAGAATTGTAGTAGAAATAGCATCATTTTGCAAAAATGTATTTCCAGGCTACCCCAATCACGTGCTTGGCTCTTAACCAAACCATGAATATCCAGGTATTGAGAGAATTCAAGTCTTCAGCTATGAGAACAAACTTGACAATTGGTTAATATGGCCTATTCACTTATGCATAGAGAAGGAATCTTTCCTCCTTTTTCAACACATATTAGCCTCTGACGGGAGTACTTTTTTTAGTGGTAAGCAAAAGACTAACACTTCCAGACCCTGTATCATTGCACTGGTAATGGAAAAACAGGCTCTAGATAAGCTTTATAGAAGGTGTCAAGGCATTGGGGAGGGGGTAAATATGGTTATTGACAGAGAAAAAAGAATCACAGAGCAGTTTTTGGCAAGACTTTTCATCCAAAACACCCCTAGCACTTCCACAGCGTGTATGTGGATTTTGTTAGTAGAGGCCCGGTGAGCAGTATCAGAGTGTAAGGATATACAGGAATCCCGACTGTGGATTTGATTAGCTGATACCCCCAAAGGCCTTAAAGTGAAGTTTCAAAGCTGTACGAGAAGAATGACACATTGGCTATAGTAACATTTAGATTAAATGACGCTGTCTGGCCTCACCCAGAAGCTAAGATCCTGACCTTAGGACTGAGGAGACACCCCTGAAGTGCCTCCATGGAAAATATATGCCCCTCAGTAGCTCATACTTTTATAACCATAACCAAAAGCCAAAATCTAACTAGATTTGGCCAGTATACCTGTTACTTCATGAAGTTTAACATTTGAGGATACTCCAAAGCGTGGCTCCCAATTATGAATGCCTGCGCCCCACCCCCATTCATGGAGATGTGAGCTAGGTCCCCAGAGAACTGGAAGACACTTACTGATCCCCTTCAACTCTCCTCGCTCTTCCAAGTCCCCCCCTCTACCAAAGTACGCCAGGATGGAAAATGAGTGGATCCTCAAAATACCAGAACGGACCATGGGTTGTCAAACTCATTCCCTATTTCTTTGTTAACATTAATACACATTGAAATACATAATATATTTATGTATTATACATAAACAATACATAAATGCTATTATTAAATTTTAAAATATTGCAATATATAAATAACAAAAATAAGTAAAATACATTGAACTACATTAAAACCTAATCTGTGATTTTTTCTAATTTGGTGGGCATTGAGCAAAACAAAAATGAGCAATTAAAAAAAAATCTCTTCCTGTTGGATTGAAAACCTGCTAAATTGCCTCGAGATTCTCCCTCACGTTCACAGAGCCTAGGCATAGGAGGAGAGCTTCTGTTACAGAACTTTCAGTCTGTCTGGGGCATCAGACTTCAATTCTCACTGTAAATGGAGATGCTGGAAGCGAGGGAGAGTGGGCCACAGGGAACAAGCCCCACGTACAGCACCAGGCTTTTCTGCTATTAGCAAACCTTCACATGGGCATTTGTTTTTCCTGGTGATATGTCTCTCTTTCAAGGAGAGAAAATCTCCATTTGTGAGTCACTCTGGAAAACAGTGCAATAGAAGTTCTCCTGCAAGGCAGGAGAGAGTGTTCTGGGCTACACTGTGTCCCCAGACTGATCTGTCCAAGCCCTCAGCCATATCGCTGGTGTCCCTACAAAAGGGGGAACTTGGGCTTGGGGAGAGACATGCACACAGGGAGAAGACCATGAGAGGATGGAGGGGTGGGGGATGCATCTACAAGCCAAGGAATGCTGAGGATTGTTGGCAAGCCACCACAAGCTAGAAAGAGGCAAGGAAGGACTTCCCAACTCGTTTCAGGGTGATCATGGCCCTGTGGATAACTCGTTGGGCTTCTGGCTTCCAGAACTATGAGACAATACATTTTTATTCTTTTTCACCACCAGGCTTGTAGCACTTTGTGTAGCAGCCCTAGTCCTCCTTCAGCCCTTCTCCTGCTCACATTTTCCCAGATGACAAAAATTCTTTACTGGCTCAACAGGAAGACCTCGAAACATTTTCTTGGGCAAGAGTTAGCCACTTTCAGGGGCATAGAAACCCAAACTCTTCTCTTCTACTCCAGTTAAAAGTGCCAGGGAAAGAATGGCATTGAAGCTGATACACTGATACACTCCCCATAAGCGCTCAGGAATTTACATGCATCATCTGATTCAGGACTTGCACTGTCTCAATGAGGTGGGTACTGTTTTAAGGGAAGTAAATGCTCACACAGGTGAATCTCTGAATGCCCTAATGCAACCCCATTTTATGCACCACAGCCTGCCACCTGCATTCCGTGGAAAAGGTCTGCTCTTGGACACTTGTGCACGGCCGTGACAGGTACAGAGGCTCCTTACCAAACACAAATAACACAAAAACCAGTGCATGGTTTTTTGTAGAAGACCCTATCTTCTAAATAAAAATCAGGACAAATGATCCAACACAGATCTTTTAAAATTGATGACTAGCAACTATGGAGCAACTGATGCTGCAGCCAGATAGCCAGTATGACCAGGTCCAGGTGGAACCACTCCTTCCCTCTGACACCTCCAACACTTGCCCTTCTCAGCCCTCACACAGGCCCTGTGGCATGGCTCGTGGTGTACACAGCCACATGGCCACACACAGCCAGCTGCTTAGGAGTGGACACCACAGCCAACACCTCTTTTCGCCTGCACTTTCAAAGTAAAAGCCTCTGAACAGGTGAACATCTGTCTCCCCAGCTATTCTCTCTTCACTACTCACAGACCGTTTCTTTGCAATGCTCTTCATCCAAGCAGTTTACTTCAAAGGAAATGCTATGAAGCACAGGAGGTGATGCCTATAGGTAGGTACATATAGATTTTTTCTCTGCTGATCTGATTTGGCAGACTTGCATTACAGCACTTAAATTATCAAATGGCAAGAGGTTATCAAAGACCAAGAGGTCCAGAGTCCTTTACAGAAATGCCAAATTTCCAAATGTTAGGGGGAACCTTATGATGTACTAAGTGGGCTTAGATTGGTGTGTGCATGCACCATACACATAACAGTGTTAAGGTGGGGGTGGTGGGTGTCAGCATCCTGCGTTAGACTCAGAGGTTAAATAACGCAGCCAGAGCTGCACAGTAAGAAAAGGCAGAGCTGGGATTTAAAGGGTAGCTTCTAGGTTCCAGGCCAGAGTTCCTCCCACTTTTCCACACTGCCTCTGAGGTTTAAAGATAAGCTCAGATTTTATATAGAACTTATTTCACTCATCAATTTGAGCAAATAGGCCCGCGGGCCCCGGCGCTCCGGCGATGCTGTCAGCTGCCGCAGGGGCGGCCCTGGGCCCCGACGGCCTCTCCGCACAGCCTGGGCCCCTGATCGGTCTCTAAAGCGCACTCTGTTTCATTTCAGAAATCGAAACTTAGAATGATTTGGCCAGTGAGAACCTCCTCAACTCAGTGGGCCTTGAGAACTCTGTCTTGAGCAGTCCACCTTGGTCTATCAAGGTGATTTTGTTTCCTTCTGTAATAAAGTGCAGTGTTTGCTTGCATACTCCTAAATCTCCACGTTAAATTCTTTTTAATAAGTGAAGATTAGTACCATGAACCTGTAGTGTCTGCCAGTAACAAAAATACCTATGCCACTGTGTGACTTCTGTCAAGGGAATCATGGCAGCTGATGGAGGTAACAAAACACAAGTTCTTAAGGAGCATGGAGATGAAAAATTTTCCAAAGATGAACAAAAAGAGAGATTAATTCATAAAATTGTAAAGGAAAATACTCAGTTAAAGGAGGAAATCCAAAAGCTTGAAGCTGAGTTAGAAGAGGCCGCCAGAAACTTCCAGATTAAAGTGGATATTCCCACAATACAGATGAAATTCACATCCTCAGAGAATCCTGAGAAGGACAGCCAGTTTTTTAACACCTCTTGTTTATTTCAAGTGAGCTCCCAAGTTTTTTATGAGCTACGAAGAGGACAAGCCCTTATCACATTTGAAAAAGAAGAAGTTGCCCAAAATGTGATCAGGATGGGGAAACATCATGTGCAGATAGAGGACTTGGAGGTGGAGGTGACGGCCAACCCCGTTTCATTAAACTCTGGAGTCAGATTCCAGGTTCCCATAGATGTGTCTAAAATGAAGATCAATGTTACTGAAATTCCTGATGAGTTGCCTGAAAATCAGATGAGAGACAAGCTAGAACTGAGCTTCACTAAGTCCCAAAACAGAGGCGGACAAGTGGAGTGTGTGGAGTATGACAAGCAGTCCCGGAGCGCCGTCATCACATTTGTGGAAATGGGAGTTGCTGACAAGATTTTGAAAAAGAAAGACTATCCTCTTTATATAAATCAACTTGAGAAATTTTCAGGTATTTTCAGGAATATCTGAGAGGACAGTGCTTCTGACTGGAATGGAAGACCTTCAGACGATGGATGAAGAGATTGTAGAGGATTTACTTAACATTCACTTTCAACGGGAGAATGGAGGTAGAGAAGTAGATGTAGTTAAGTCTCTAGGTGAAGCCCACATAGCATACTTTGAAGAAGAGGCTCATGGAATCATATGAAAATTAGAGCTACTGGGTCCAAATCATTATCAGTGTTTGACAAAAATGAGTATCTGTTTTCCTGAAAAAAAAAGACACTTTAAAATTTTTTAGTGTCCATTTATTCTTAGATACAAAATAAATTCCCATGTCTTTGGAAAAAAAAAAATTTGAGCAAATATTTCAGGAGTTGCAGTGGTCAAACCCAACAGTGTCCTTCTGGAAAAAGCATCTTCCCTTGGAGAACAGCTCATCACTAACATTTGCCATGTGGCCTAATGGGGCTGCTGTCTTCCTACCAGATCCTGCCTCTCTGGCCACAAGGACTATCCTGGAATGAACGCTCCACCTAAGCCAGGCCTCCTCCCATCTGATACGGCAAAATCAGGCCCCCGAGCCCCTGGAGCTGAAATGAGCTTCCCCCACAGCCTTCTGATTAATTCTGTCTTTGGCTTATTAAGCTGGTTTCAATTTCTGTTTCTTAAAGCTAAAAAACTTTCAACTGTCCAGGGAGTAAGTAGCAGTGCTTTTCAGACCTGCTGTGCCTGGTTTGTTACCTTTCGCCAGCAGGGACAGCCCTTGTGCCGCCACACAGGAAAGCACTCGGGCAGGATGCGCCAGACTCACGGAAGGACCAAAAGCTAGAAGTGACAACAAAGTCTATGCTCCTTGTGGACGTGGAACAAATTTCTGTCTCACAAACACATTTTCTTACAAACAGGAAAGCCCAACACTGATAATTAAAGGCCTTTTCTAAACAAAGTATAAAAGGCATCTAATATAGACACAGTGTTAAACATAAGCTTTCCCTAACAGGGACGGCCTGCTCAAAGTTAACATCTCCTCTCTCCTCAGAACGGAAAGGCGAGTTACCCAAAGTGTAACTTGGGACTTTCTTTGGCCAAACGCAGCTGGCAAAGGTGTGGAAAACCTGAAACTATACAAGAGGCTGCGCCGTTGCACTTACGTGGGGTATCCTCGCACCCCCTGAGCAGAGCACACGTCCGACTCGGCCGTGCAGTCCACTTTAGCCACGAAGACCTTGGCATCTTCCATGCTGTTGTACTTGTCTCCCAGGTCGTTCCATGTTGGCTGCAGCCGCTGGCAGTGTCCGCACCTGTAACGGGGTGAGAGGAACAGCATACTGAGTGCTGGGCAGAGGGTGGCCCAGAGCACAGCCGTTCCCCAAGACAGCAGGGCTTTCTGACCCCTCCTTTCCTCTGTGGCAGGACCAAGGACTCACAGTGACCAGAGACCCTCACTCCCCTGCTTAACATTCCCCGGAGTCACTGCATTGTTCTCAGCCTGAAATTGAAACTTAGCAAGGTACTGAGCCAGATCCTCCTTGCACTGGCCCTGGTTGACCTCCCACTTGACCTCTATACACTGCGCTTTGTCTGCAGTCTTCCTGGGAGCCATCCTGCAGTGCTTGGTTTGCTGAAAGGGCCCAGCTTGGCTGGGTCTGAGGATCAGTTCCTGCTCTCTGGTGCTTCCTCCCTAAACCCACCTGGCTAATGTCTGATTGCCCTTAGGTTTAGTTGGGTAACACTTCCTCCAAGGAAGCCCTGACTCCCCAGGCTCTTTGGTGCCCACTCTCTTCTCCTCCTCTTCTAGAAAGCTCCCCTGCTCCCCGTCTCCCGCAGCAAGGAGTTCTCACAACCATTGCTCCTTTCCTTTTTAGCCAGGTTTCTTCCTCTATATAACAAGGATTTGCAATTGCAGGGCAACCTCAAAATTAAAGCAATTTGGTATTTTTTCCAATGAGAAGCTTGAAAAATGTTTGCAGCCACCCACCTTGTAAATTTCATAAAATCACATGGATACTTATGATATTCACTGTATGAATTTAACTATGAACAAATATTTTTAAATCACCTATCATTTAAAATAATGTTAACTTAGAATTGTTGCTTTTTCCACCCTTCACATTTCTTGACAGCATCAGCATCTCTCCTGTTGCTAAATCTGCTTTTTGAGACAGCTGATCATCACCTTTAATTAAGAGCTGTCTGCAGTGTTATATTTGATTTTTGTACGAGACAACACTGGACTTTATTTCAAGGGTCAAGCAGTCACATGGCATTATGGCACACGGGTTTTTGAGTTTGTTTCCATTCACCTGGTAAGTGTATATTCATCATGTCTACAATGTAGTCACTTACTGTATTGCTTTTTAAAGTGATCTTCAAAATGCTTGCTTACGAGAACACCCAACACTTATAACTATGAGTTCGTCCTCAAAATAACTTCTCAATAAAACCTCTCTGCCTCTTTTCTGATGGATGACCTCAACAATAAGCATCCAAATGTAGCTCTGAAGAAGTTTGCTTCAAGCTAATACGTCTTCAGTAAGCAGCACTTTCTTGGTCAGCTAAAAGATTCCCTGCTTTATAGGAGATGATTATCTATATAATACAGTGTGATTCCCTCTTTTCTGGAAAATAACTATGAGGGAAAATCAGTGTTATATTTAAGTTTACATGGTACAAGGGCCAAGAAGACAAGCACTGTCCTTTTTACAACTGTATTCTCAGTATCTAGCATATGCTTGGCATGTACTAAGTATCTGGCAATTTCCTAATGATAGATTCATGGATGCCATGGAGCCGGCAATTCTCGTTCGGGACCCTTGTGGCTATAGCAAACCCCTGTGGCAGCAGCTACATTTAGAAGGCAGTTTGTGACCAGGTAATAGAGCAAAGCCGCCTGCTCCTCCAACGAGGCAGCCCCAACTTGACCTTACTGTCACCAGATTCAGTGTGACCTGCAGACTGGCCATACAAAAGCTGTGACCTGATGTTGGCACAAAACGTACAGCAGTAGGACAACCCTGCATCTATCAAGTTTGGAGCAAAACACACAGATCAATTATTTTCATTACATGGCCCCTGCTCCCAAATCCCATGTGGGCTTCTAATATTCCAAGACAGAGTGGAAAGAGACTGGAGGGCAGCCAGCAGCACTTTTATTTGAGCTCCAATCTGCTCTTAAAGTCTAACTTAAATGCCCTCACAGAAACCCACACATCTCTATTTGAATATTTTGTAGAAGCAATCAAATAAAAACTTTTAAAGTTACATTTTTCTGTGAGCATGCACCTAAAAGTTTATAAGCCATATACAATGAGAAAGGAATTTACTTAATTGTGCCTAGATTTGCCGGTCTTCCTCACTCAGGTGAGGACTAGCTCGTGAATACCGCAGACAACATTAAAACGCCATTTTGCACGGTCTCACTATGTCCACATGTCAGTTTTTCTTCAAAAAACAAAGAAAAAAACCCATGGATAGATTTATTTCACTGAAATAGGCTCTGCTTAAAAAGTGTATTGATTTGGAATACTCTGCGAATACTTCCTCATACAGAAACTATTAATAATGAATGATTATGCTAGAGTGTTTTCTAAATATCCAAGTCAGTTGGTCCTTAGTAACTTGAAACAGATGTATCCCACAGTTACACTGTTACTAAATGATAGCTCTGACCCAGAGCTGCCCAAAACAGTTAACTCCAAATGAACTGAAATAGAGTAATAGCCTGAACACGGGTAGAGAGAGAAACAACTTCCTCCCACTTCCGCCTGCACATTTTCTGAATGGGCCGTGTTTCCTGGGCATCTTCTCTTTACTCCTTCCTACATCCCCTTTCCACGTGTCAATGAGCCTCCGCCTCCGCTCGTGGGAAGAATGCCAAATCCTGCAGTAAGCCTGCAAACTGCTTTTTGCCCTAAAACTGGCGTTCCCTTTTGCCCTAAAAACCCGCCTTTCCTGGGGGCATCTAGGCCCTAGGGGACCAGCACCGCCTGTGCTCCTGCGCATGCAGGGTGTCCTGCGGGACAATTCCCAGGGCAGGGGTCTCGGGGGTTGCCACGGAAGCCCCCACTAGAACCAAGGCAGGAGATGCCATTTGCTCCACGTGGTGCCTTCCCAACCCACTTTCCGGATGATCAGGCCCCAAGAGAACCGAGGGAAGGAGGTGCCCCAGAACAGCCTTGAGTTGAGGGACAATGGTTCCTGCCCTCGAGTACACAGCTCCCCACCCGCTCCAAGAGGCGAAGGGGTCCCCAGAATTCGCACCCCCCTCCGCCTCCCGGGACAGCACAGGAACCCTCTCCCCCACCCCCCCACCCCGGACAATCACACCTTTGTGAGTTTCTAGTTTTCAGCTAAGCCCTCAAGCAGGGGACCGGCCCCGGAGCGAGGCGGCGCAATCCGACCTCAGCGGGTCCACGGCCGGAACCCCAGTGCCCAGCGGCCGCCCACAAGGTCCCCGGCCCCGGCGCCCCACCAGGCCGCGGCCTCCGCCGGCGGCAAGCCCGGGGGCCAGGACCGCGCGGTGGAGGTGACGACCGCGCCCGCCCCTCCCTCAGTCCCGGGGCCGCCCGAGGGGCATGCGGAGCGCCGAGGCCGCCCTTCCCGGCTCTCCCCTCGGGGGCCGCGCCTCCTGCACCTCCCGCGCCGCCTGGCGCCACGTCAGCCGCCGGCGCCCCGGCCCAGCGCGCCGAGCCCACGCCCCCCGCCCGCCGTGCCCGCATTCGGAGCCCTGAGCGGGGCGCGCGGCCGTTACCAGGGCGCGAAGAACATGACGAAGTGCGCGGCGCTCTGGATCCCGTGCGTGAACATGTCGGCCGTGTACAGGTGCTTGGCGTGCGGGTCTTCCTCGGCCCCGCCGTCCGCCTCCGGGGGCCCGCCCGCGCCCGGCTCCTGCGCCCAGGCGCCCCGGCGCCCGCCGCCGCCATCGCCCAGCAGCAGCGGAAGCAGCAGCGCGGCCAGGGCCAGCGTCCGCGGCAGCGGAGGGAGGAGGCGTCCGGGGCGCGCGGGCATCGCGGCGGGGCTGGGCGCGCTCTCGCCGAGGCCGCCGGTTCCCTCGGCGCCGCCGCGCAGAGGCCGCGCCCCTTACCGGCCCCGCCCCTCCCGCGCGCTCCCGCCCGGGCGGAATCGGCGCCCCGAGCGCCGGCCTGGGAGGGGCCGAGTGAGACGGCCACCTGCGCTGCCCCACGGCCCGGGGGCGCCCCGCAGGGCCCTGCGCCTGCCCAGACCCGGGCAGTGCCCGCGCCGCCCCGAGGGGGGTGAACACTGGAGGGTCGGGGAGGCCGGGCAGGGCCGCCGCGGAGGGCAAGAGCAGCCTCCGTTCACCTTAGCATCACGAAGACCCCGCGCTTTCAGGCCGCAGGAAGGAAGCGCTGCTGTCAGCGGAATGTAAGCAATTGAGCAACAGTGGGTCTTGTTTGCACCTGAGTGAGTCAAATTCTAAGGCCAGACCTCAGCTGAGGTTCTGGGCCTGAGCCCGGAGGTGTGAAGAAACCCTTGCCCGTTCTCCCCGCCTGCCTTAACTTGGGGGTGAGGGGGAGAGGGGGTCCAAGCCGCCTCGTTGTCACAAGTACTGCAGAGTTCCTCCTCAGAAGACTGGCTGGCTCCTGATGTGCCCTGTCTCACGCCGTTCATTAGGCTTAGAACGATGAACGACAATGCCACCCCCCAGCCCTGGCTGAACTACCCCTTGGGGAATGATGGGAAGGTCTCCCCTGGGCTTGGGCAGCTCAGAGTTCATACCTGCACACAGGCCTTACTGCGTGTGGTAACTGAAGGTTCAGGCCCTGGCTTGGGGATTTCAAGCTAAATTGGGGAGAATCACGCGATCGTTTCCTGGGATCCTGCTTGGTCCTTAATTAGCCTCAATCTGGAAAACCCCACGCAGGTCCTCCTGGTCGCTCAGAAGTGCCCAGTGATTCACCTATCATTACACTGCTCCAGCCTTTTGTTCAGCCCCTACTAAACCTTTAACCAGGGTTTGACAAATACCAAGCCATCAATTTCCCTTCAAAAACCTCTCCTGCCAACAAGTTAAACTTGAAACCTGGGGATCCTCTCCCATTTGCTCCCGCTTCCCTCATCTCCTGAAATTCAAACCAACCACATTTCTTGCGACTATTTCCACCCTTCTCGGTATTCAGACAGATTAGTCCTTAATTGTGGCCTACTGCAGTAGCTTTCTAAGGGACTCTCTTTGTTCACAAGGCTGGAAAATTAATTTTCCTAAAGCCTGCCTCTGACCATAATAGTTTGCTGCTCAACACCCTCCCCTGCCCCCCACCTACAGTGTAAAATACAGATTCCTTCGTCTGCCACTCAAATCCTCTGCGATGTGGTTCCATGTGCTTTGTGTCGCTGTGAAATGCACTCACCACTAGAAGTGCAGGGATCCTCTCCAATAATATGTTTTTGCCAGCCTCTCATCACTGCTCCCCAAAACCTGTTACTTCCCCAAGTCTTCCACTGTGCTGTCAGGAAATTCCAATGAAGATTTCAGCACACACACACTTACAGCATCAACTTCTTTCCTTCTTAAGACAGAGACGTAGGAGTCTCTCAAGTGTTAGCTATTTATTCTTCCACATGTTGATACTCTCACAGCCAAGAAGTAAAACAGGTGGCTTCCTTGCTTCCCTGCTGCTTCCAAACCTCCCTTCCTGCTGCAGAACCCCCAGCTCCTGGTCAAGTGAGGCCCTTAGGTCTGGCATCTGCTGCTCTTCTGGTTCTCTTCACCCGCCCACTTCAATCACCTCACTTCTTCCAGGTCACTCCACCCCCTTCACTGAAGATTGGGTTCCTGGCTCATAGTATTCCTGGCCATCATTCCTGCTGTCTTCAGCATCCAGGTAGATGACTCACCTATCTGTCTTTCAGTGACTCCCAAAGGGAAACCCCTCGAACTTGTTGTCACCTGAAACTGCACTGTCTTCAAAATCCAAATCAAAGACATTCCACTGTGCCTGACACCTCTTGTGCTCACAGTTCACCTGCTCAGCACTCCCTCAACCCCCACTCCCATCATGACATATGAGCCCATGATCCCACCCTCTGCTTACAGCCTCCTCACCACCTGCCAGACTGCTCTGTCTTCCCTTGCCTTCTGACTCAATCAGAACTCATGGATTCTCAGTCCTATACTTACACCTTGTCACACTCTCTCACAGTGACACTGGAAGGCCTGAGGGGCATTTTGGTTTCCCGCTCTATGCCACACTTCTGTGCCTCCACCCCCTCTCCATCCCTTTCAGCTGTCATCTGGGCCTCATAGTTCTCTCAAAACACTGAAGCCAAAAGCATGAACTCATGTTTGCAGCACAAAATACACACAGAGCTTCATGCCCCTTACCCATCTAACCTCTGGTTACAAGGGGGGAAGGAAGTATCTCCCTCCTGGCAAAGGCCAGTCCTCTGCTGTGCTCTGGAGTCCAGCCACAGCCAGCTAAACACAGCGCCCCACCGATAGCCAGGTCCTACGCTCTGGGGCCTCTGAGTGTTACCTCCCAGGGTGGGAGAGACTGTACAGACGTAATCAAATTAAGCAGGTGATCCTGCAATACCTAGGTGGGCTCTAAATGTAACCACTAGCGTCCTCATCAGAGAGAGGCAGAGGGAGATGTGGCCAGATGAGTAGATGGTGTGGCCAGAGCAGAGAGAGATTGGGGGATGCCATACTGCTGGCCTTGGAGATGGAGGAAGGGACAAATGAACTGATTCTAGATGCTGGAAAAAGCAAGGGAACTGATTCTCCCCTAGAGCCTCCAGAGGAATCATTGGCCCTACTGACAATCTGACTTTAGTCCAGGGAAGCTGATTTTGGACTTCTGACCAGCAGAACTGTAAGAGGATAAGCATGTGTGGTTTGAAGCCCCCACATTTGTGGCAGTTTGTTGCAACAGAGGAAGCGGACCCACTATCCCAGCTCACCTACTGAAGGACTCGCTGCCTCAGCTCTCTGCTTCTGTCCCACATTCATTATCAAACGCTTCCCATAGGATCATTTCTGCACATGTATAACCATACTTTAATATCTCCTAACTTAAAAAAATGTCCCTTGACCTCACTACCCACCAGCTACTATCCCAATCCCTTAACTTTCCTTCATAGCAAAATCTTCCAAGAATTATCTGCATTTCACTTTCCATTCATTCCTCAGCCCATGCTGCTCGTTCCCACCCCTGCCAGTCACCAAGTCCCGGAAGATGCTCATGTTGACGAGTTGGAGGAACACTGGCCCTCCTCATCTTACTGGGCTTCTTGGCAACCTCAGTCCAGCCCATACTGGCTGCATCTGGATCGACACTGGCTACAGCTTCTCCAATTGCCTCCCACCCTATCTGGCACTTCTCAAGCTCCCCAACCCCCTGGTGTTAGCGTCTCAGGGCTTAGCCTCCAGCCCCTTTCCTCTCTCCACACTCACTCCCGAGGCGACCTCATGCATAGCCATGGCTTTAGACACCATCTGGGTGCTGAGGATGCCAGCATTGCTGTTACATCTGACCTTGGTCTGAGCTCTCACCATCTGTTTGGTGTTACCATGTGTTTATGTCACAGGCATCACCCAAACCAAACTTGTGATCCCTGCAATCTCTCCTCCTTCACTTCTCACCAGGGTTCGTGGTGCTTCCCTGTTGTTCCCTGTCTGCTTCCAGGCTGCACCCTTTCCCCTTTTCCTTATTGTTGTCCCAGTTGTCCCAGAGCTCACGCTCCATCATTTTCATTTCCACTTCTGACACACACCTCCGGCTGACTTCCTCCTCCACTCCTGCCACGTGCCTTCTCATCCGTCCGCTGCAACTCTCCTGAGTGCTGCTTGCACCCTCGAGTTGTTCGCTCTCCTCATCATACAGCAGCTGGAGCTGAATCATAATGCTTTTGTCCTCATTGGCTTCCTGTCCTCCTTGAATAAACTCCCAGCTCAGCCTTGGCTTTCCAGGGCCTGGGAAGATGCAGTCGCATCCCATCCGTGCCTTCCCACCCGTGCCTTCCGCTCCCGGCTTCTAACTGGATGGTCCTTGGTGCTCTCCAAGCGCCCCCTCCTGTGCACTGGTCATGCCGGCAGGGCCTCTTGCCTTTTCCCAGGTCTGGTCTCCTGCCGGCACCATCTCCTGGGGGCCACCTCCCAGGCAGCCCTCCAGAGCAGCCCTACCCCCACCACCCAGCACCTCACACCCCCAGTGCCTGGTCACTGTACAGTTCAGTTTCCACACAGTCCTTTTTGGTTTGATGTCATTTCGTTGTAGATTTATATGTTAGCTTAGTTAAGCGGCCCTTTTCTCTCTCAGTAAGCCTCACAGAGGACAGCTAGGCTGTCATGTTCACTGTTCTCCCCTTAGAACCCAGAGGCCTGGCACATAATACATCCTCAACAAAAGCTGGTGAAGGAGCCCCTCCTTCTACCCATACCTCTTTCCCAGGCTCCACTAAGACTAAAGGACTTAGTCTTCTCCAGACATACCTCAAGCTGCTCTCTCTGCCTGGAATGACCCTCCCCTTCTCTGGGCCATCAGAGCACCACCTTCCTGCTTGACCACCCAACCCCGTGTACCACCAGCTGCCGAGGCCACACCTTCCCTGAATCCCAGCCCTCACACCAGCGCACATGCCACTTCCTCTCTGCAGCTGGGAGCATCCCTGCTGAGATTCCACCTCCCAGCAGCCTGACTTCCAGCTCAAGAGAGTCTACCAACGGAGAAAGTGAATTTTCACACCAGTGAAGTAAATACGACTTTCTCAGGGAAAACTTTTCTGACCCCTGGCAAGGGTAGCCCCGCTCCACTGTGCTCTCATATCTGAACCTTCTCCCCAGTAATTATTTGTTTGTGTAATATTTAGTTTAGTGTCAGGCTTCCCCTCAGATGCCATGGGGTGATGGGTATGAATATGATGTCTGGTGCAGGTGCCTAATATATATTTGTCAAATGAATGCATGAAGGACTGAGTGAAAAGTCCCAGTTGTTTACCCTCAGATGACGGCTTCCTTGAGGAAGAACCCTCATAATCACGGCCTTGTCCCAAACAAATTGGACAGTAGGCACAGAGGTCAGCATTACTGCTACTAACAAACAGGGTCACCACATTGCCTTTGTCCTCTAAAGCTGCAGCCTTCAAAGAGCTGTGCCGTCATCCTGCCAGCAGTGCGAGAGCTGTGTGTGCCGGGGCTTCTTGTTTGTAAAGCTGTCCTCAACCAGCTGGGCACAATGAGAACTGACATGTGAGAAACTGCTGTTGATTAGAAAAACCACAGCTTGCCTTTTTCCTCTCCTGAGAGTGAAGTGAACCCCCAGGTGACGTCACTGGGGGAGGAGGACCCACAGAACATTCTGTTAGTACAGAAACTGAAATGCCATCATTTGTACCGTTTCAACAGGTGCAGCCTGAGTTATTATTGGGCTAAAAATGCTACTTTTAGGCATGTACTGAAAGCATTTACATCCTCTTGTGTTGGTCAGAACATTCTAGAAGATGCATCCAAAGAAGAAGAGAAACCTTGTTTTTCTCAGTGGGCTTTTATAACTGTTCAGATGTGATTATTAAGAAAGAGGACAAAGTTAGAGGATTGATCTTGTCAGAGGAAGTCTAAAGGGAGAGACTGAAGTGGTTACCCAGCCTGGAGTCACTTGGAGAATAAAGCTATTTTAAGTGATTCAAATGGTCAGTGGAAATTTGATATTTACTCACAATGAGCATAACCTCCCTGGGCAACACTGCCCACCTCGCTCTAAGCAATAAACACAGAAGAACACACCCTAACATAATAGATTCTGTTGTTTGGGAGATAAATCTTTCAAAATCCATGTGGGATCCATGCCAGGGAAAAAATTTTTTAAGTTCCTCTGTTGAATGGACTGTGCCCACTCGGCTGAATGAACTGTGCTGTTTCCCCAAGTCCGTGGCTGTCCGGCTCTAGCTCTCCACTGTGGCTCATTTAGACCTGCTCAGGCTGGTGTCTCTGCTCCTTCCCACTCCCGTCCTTCTCGCAGCCCCTCATTTGGTGGACACTGTTATGAGGCTCTGCCGCCATTCTCCCTCGGAATGCTGTGCAGGGCCAACAGGCTGATATGTGAGCCTGTCCATCAGCACCAGGTTTGGGCACGGGGCGGCGGTCTTCCCTCCGAGGATGCAGGCCACTCACTCCGCAGTTCCCCTCTTCTCTTGGCCATGCTAGCTGGTCCTGCTGGCCTCGGCTGTGGCCTGCAGTGCTCCATGTGAGTACGGGCTCATACTTCTCTCATGCTGCTCAGTCCAGCTTTTGATGGCTGCCTGAATCCCAGAACACTATTCCAAATTCAGAATTCAAATAAGAAAATGATTGACCTAACCTAGTGACTCGCAACTCTGGCTGCATACTGTAATCAGCTGGGGTTTTGAAATGTCCTGATGCACTGGCCCGGCTCCCAGAGTTGAGAGCATGATTAGATGATGCAGTTAGGATCTCTGCCCTGGTGTCCCTGGAGAGGGTATCACAGGGCCTTAGAGCACCACCTGGAGCAGACTACCGAAGGATACTGGTGTTCCCTGGAACTTAATAGGGGTTTTCTTAAGACAAGCATTCTGACTCAAACATGTTTGCAGAATACTGGGTTTTGAGAGAGAAAGAACATCCAGGAACAATGCCCAAATTATACCGCCACACTGCTGTGGGGAGCTGCCATGACTCCCACTCTGGGTACAAACTTTGTCTCCCCTCTGGTAAAGGACATGGGGTATGACATCTACCACCTCCAACCTGGCAGGCAGGGATTTTGTGTGACACCTGCTTTTCACAAAACTGGCTTCCATTGGAAGTCTCACAGCATTAGGGCTGAGTGGTCTGCACTCTATTCCCACCTGGAGATGTGAGGTGGGAAGCCTACAAATACAGGGAAGGTGTTCCAAGAAGCTGAGCATCCTAAAAGAATGGCCAGATGACATGGGGAGGGGAAAAGAATGAAAAAGATCCAAGCTTATTTACCAAAGGACTTCTCAGAGATTTTCATATGAGAGTGTACCATGTGAATTCCTACGGGTATCATACACAGTGTTTCCCAAACTTATTTGATCCCAGACCCTTTTTTATTTCTGATGTATCTTGCATCATTGATGCTTTGAAGAACGCTTTGTGAAAAGCCTTATCAAGGTTAGGAAATATTTCCCACGACCAGATAAACATCTGGGCTCAGTTACTTGCTCTACCTGCAACATCTCCTCCTCCATTTCACGTACTTGGCTGCAAGGAAATTCACTCAAATATGTGTCAGTGTCTAGTTCGTGCCAGGCACAGTTCAAGGTACTTGGGATTCAACAACAACTAAAATAAACTAAAAAACCTGCCACACTGGAACTTCAATTCTAGCTGGAGAGACAGCCAGTAAGAAGATAAAGATGTATACTGTTAGTCTGTGGCAAATGCCAAGAAAGCGTAGGCCGTAAGGGGACGTGAAGTGCCAGGGTTCCAATGGGACTGAAATTTTAAGCAGGGTCCACTAGGGAGGCGGTTTTTGAGTAAAGGCGCTGGAAGTGAGGGAGCAGCAGATGTGACTGTTTGAAGGAACAGAATCCCGACAGAGGGTCCAGCAACTGCTAAGGATTCAGAGCAGGATGGACGGAGGGGTATTAGGACAGGCGGGCAGAGAGGCACAGAGCCAGGTGGTCCAGAGTGAGAATACGAATAAGAAGGGAAGTCATCGACGGGTTTTCAGCAGGAACATGACGTGCCCTGACTTCTTTTCACCAACATCACTGTGCGAGCTGTACTGAGGAATGCCAAGGGCGTAAGGGCAGCAGGCGGCCAGTCGGGGAGCTATTACAGTAATCCCAGCTGCAGATGCTGGCGACTTACAGTGGGCAGAGGCTTTAGGGTGATGAGAAGTGGTCAGATTCTGGATCCGTCTTGAAGTAGCTGCCAACAGGATTTGCTGGTTGAGCAGATGCAGGCTGTGAGAGAAAGATAGGAGTTTAGGATGACTTCCAGGTTTTTAGCCAGAGCAACTGGGAGCACCTAGGTATCATTCGCTTGGATGGGAAAGAGGTTCAGGGGGAACTAGTCACTCAATATTAAGCTTATGAAATTGGAGATGTCTGCAGGTAACATAGAGTAGGCAGTTGGAAATTTGAGATCTGGGGAGTCATAGCTGGGTATGAATTTGAGAGTCATTAGCATTTGGGTGGTATCAAAAGTCTCGAAAGAGGATGAATCACCACCAAAGTGAGTATAGGGAAGAGAAGAGGTTCAAGGGCTGAGCCCTGGGCAGCCCACTGTTTGGGAGAGCGGTGGATGCAGAGAACAGGAAAAAGAGGCTGACAAGGAGACAGCAGGACAGTAGGAGGACCACCTGCTAACTGCTGGCCTAGAGGAGAAATGTTTCAAAGAAGAAGGAAGGAGCAGATGTTTCAGATCTGCTAATATGTCCTGGTTCATCCTGGACAATCCCAGTTTACTCCTATGGACTTGATTTGCCCATTACCAGCACCCCAGTCACTCTCAAATGCACCCCAGTTTGGATAACACACTCACAGGTCATCCTATTGTTAGGTCAGGTGTGAGGCTCAGTGACACCTCCGGAGGTAGCCATGCATAGGTCCCCGTGCCCTTGATCATGGCAGTCAGTGCAGGGAGGGGGCAGCAAGGAGGGGCTTCCACGGGTGTGGGAAGAGAGGTATCAGGGATAAGGAGTATAAACAATATTCAAGAGCTCTTGTAAAGAAAGGTGAAGAAACATGATGGCCATCAGAGGAGAGACTGTGGCCTTTTTTTTGTTTTTTCAGCATCAAAGAAAAATCAACATGTTTCTAGGCTGATGAGCATGATCCAGAAAAGAAGGAAACATTGACGCTGCCAGAGAGAGAAGAGAGAATTTCTGGAGCAGGGTCCCTGAGGGGCTGAGGTGGGCGTCACACGGTGCCTAGGAGGAGAGGTCAGCCGGCCCAAGGAGCACGGGCAGTCATCTGTAACGAGGAAGGGCAGGCCTGGTGGGGAGATGTCCACTGGTGTTCCCTTTTCTTTGAAACATTTCTTCTCTCGGCCTCCAGGGCAGCAGTCAGCACGTCGTCCTCCTACTGTCCTGCTCTCTCCTCATCAGCCTCGTTTTCCTGTTCCTCCTCGTCCACTGCTCCTCCAAACAGCGGGCTGCCCCAGGTCGGCGGCGGGAGCTTGCAACGGTGCTTTTCTGGTCGCTTCTGTCTTGTCATTGTGATGGGAAGAAGCAGTATCGTGAACTGAGAATGAAGACGGGGGAGGGAGTATCGGAGACTGGGGGGAGGGAAGAGAAATTCTGAAATAAGGTTGCTTGTGCTATGCTTCCTGCATGAAATGCATTTTGATTTTCAAAATTCCACGTGCTGTACAAGCTAGGCTGCGGTAGTGGTTGGTACAAGGAGAAGAGTGGGATTGGAGTGGGCCCTGCGTGTGTGTGTGTCTATGTATATAAATTCTACTGCAGAATTTCTAGAAAATTTCTAGAGGGCTAGAAAAGAATGGGAAGATGATGGACTGGGCAGTTTGGAATGATTGCCTAGCAGCCTTGAGGACCCACTTGAAGTCACTGTGACATGCCTAGATTTGCTCCAGGTGTGTTCCACTGTGTGGTGCAGATGCTGGGTGGACAAGGAGTTGGAGTTAGCTCGGCTTATGATTTAATCAAATGAGATAGCAAAGGCAGAGAAAGGAAACTGAGAGTGTATGTGGGGGAGAAATGACAGCACTTGACTATGGAACATAAACTGGATAAATCAAAAGAAAAGTATCTTAAGAAGTTGTAATACTCAGCCGTGTATACACACAATACACAAGCTCATTACACCTTTGATATGGTAATAACTTCCAGTAGGTCACCTGGCAGTTAGTCTATTGAGGAGTCGTATTCCACACCTTCTCCTCTTGTTCTACTACCCCTGTTTAGCTCAGGCCTCCCCTAACTCCTGCCTGGTTTATCTCCCTAGTATCTTGACTGTTACTACTGATTCCATGTGTTCTTATCCAAACAATGTACAACTGTTTTGTCAGGATCATCTTGAGACAACAGGTTTATCATGTCACTCTTTGCCCCACCATAAAGACCAGTTCTCTATTTCCTCTCACATCACTTCTCAAGCCTTCTGCCTGGCGTC